GGCGTTATTGAACGCGCAGTCGAAAGGTCGATGCTAGGAGCATTTCGTATCTGGCAAATTAGAGAAAGGATCCGAAGTTCCGACCTGCGTGAACGATCGAAAATTAGCCAGGATATTGAGAATAAGGTGGGCCGGACACGTGAATGCGCTTCAAGGACAACCGATGGGCGAGAGCCGTTACCGACTGGATTCCTCGGGACGTCAAGCGCTTTACAGGAAGACCACCGACCGGCTGGTCCGATTTCTCCACGAAAGGTATAAAAGAAAGATATGATGCTCAGCGAATCCCTAGAGCGAGGAGGACCCACTGGGCTACTCTTGCACGCGATAGGGAAAAATGAAAGTGTTGCTGGTACCCCTCGAGTCTCTCGACGTTCAACGGGACGACAGGCGATACAGGTGATACTTTGTTTTCGAAATGACCTTTCTATTGCACTGTGAGAGTAAAAATGAAATTACGTTCAACACTACACTATTTTTCGCTGGAGAAAGCTTTTCTTCTAGACCTTTGATAATCATTTGATATCTCAAATCTTAAAAGCTTCAGCGATGCACTTAGTTCCTGTAAGAATTGTTCAGTGCGCTGTGACACTCAAAAAAAGACTAGGTTTCGCATTTGGCGCGCGTTCTCACGTGGGATGCAACTTCTTTTATTGATTTCAAGGTTTTTTCCACTGTGGGAAAACTTTAGAAAAACTTATAACTTTGATATTTAAGATTTCTTCTAGACGTTCATATGTTTTTCGTGTATAGAATTAAGCTACGGCTTAGCGTTATCAGTGATTTATTCAACATTGTAAAATGAGAATGAAACACCTAAGCCCCTAGAACGATAGAGCAAAGTTCGTGCGCGACCTCAGAATTATCATGAATTTATGCTATTAAATAACTGTTGTGATACAGAAACGTGGTGGCTTCGTGCCAATATTGCGAAATTCCATCCACATACAAGAGTGCAGAATGCGCGTCGAGTGTGAGACCCGATTTTTTTTCGGCTGCTAGAGCAGAATTAGAAGCTCTCTTTAAAAACAAAGTAAGTCTTGAAGTCGTCGAGAATCAAGCTATCGCACGGCTACTAGAAGTCTGGAAGAGCTCGATCCAGCGAAAATTTCCAGAATGTGAAACAAAGTTCTATTCTACCGTTACAGCGAAGTAAGAAGATCGTTTGAGAATATGGTAGTACACCGCTGAAATTTTCAAGATTTAAGCTACTGAATGACTGCTGAAATTCAAAAAAAAAAACACAAAAATAGCGCTTTTCCCAGAGGGCTAAAACAGGGTGACAAATAAAAACACGATAGTAAAAGCCACTGTGGGTTTTTATAAGTCTTGAATAAATGTCGGATTCACCTTATGGACTTTGGTAAAAGAGATATGGCTACAAAATTTTCGATTTCATTAAGCTTGAAAACAAGCATCGACAACAATCATGATTACTCTTATGATCAGTGATTACAATTCGGTTCGAGGAGTGATAAGAAATACTGTTTAGTGCTTTTTTGCTAGCTAACGATAAGCATTCCATGTGATTTATCTGACGTATTGAATCCTCAGTGGCGCATACGGCAACTTTATGGTACATACCGATGTACTATGTCAAAGCGCTTGATATTCCATTCTCTCGGGTTTTCGCCTGTTTCAGAGGGATAGAAGGTTGAAGATGAACCTAGTCACAAGTTCGAATTAACTACCGCGTACATTACAAAGCATCTATAACCACTACGCTTTGTAGGCGTTTTCAATTCCATATAGTGACTAATGATTCTTCCATATAGTGACTAATAATAGGGCTTCAAAAATTTGAATATAAACATAGATACAGGCGAATGCAAGGTTATTACTAGAACAAATCAGTTCTTTGCGGAGATATTCGTAACAAAGGTAATGACTATTCCTACCGAGTACATATCGAATGAATGTTATCAAGAAAAGAGAGAAGTTTTCACGTTACATTCGGCTGAAGGTTGTGATTTGTTAGATCTCCTTTTTCTCATACTTCATAGGAACTCAACGATATGCAAGACTGATTAGTACATAACTGAACATCACCTTGCTGTAACTATATAGGTAGTAGCCGATTAGTTGTGATGGTGTCTGCGAAGCAGCGCAAAACGAGAGTGATTCTGACTTCATCACTCCCCGGTAGTCAACAGCGAGCCCGGTATGCCCTCTATAGGCAGGCAATTCCCGACATTGCAGGAAACGCGCTCTCCTAGTATTCTACGACGTTCAAGAAGAGGATGTGAGTGGACTTAGCGGGTTTTGCGCAGTGTAGAGCTGGCATATGAATCAAATAAAATAGGAAAAAATTTAAGATGTATTTAAATGTGATAAAGACTGTGCTGACATCTAGTTCATTGAGCCTATAACATTTCTTAGTTCCACATAAGATTTCCATGCATGCCTGATCTCTGTGAGTCATTTTGGTGCATCGCTTTTGTGCTCCTACGCGTATGTATCGGCGCTTATGACTCAGATTGGCGGCAGCAATATAACCCTTCCTTTTAGAGTGCCTGCATGTTTGTACATTACCGTTCAAATGTCAGTGACGCGAAATGGCTATACCGAAATATCGCTTGATTAGAGACAATATATGGCATTATTTCGTAAAATAGGCTCAGTCAGAATCACCACAGTTCGAGTTTCAAAACGCTTCTTCCACGTTCAACGACGTTTATCGCAAGTTTTCTTGTGTTGCTTCCTCCTTATTAGGTCAAGCAAAGGTTTTCTAAAATCTTTGAAAGTTTCATATATACCTAAGAAAATTGAGTGAAGAGCAAAAACACGACCTTAGATGGGAGTCGAACCCGCGTCTCACCCATACGGAAGACGATGTCACAATGGCTGTCAGCTCAACTGGGTTTATAAAGCGAAATCGCATACCCAAGCAAACCTGCTAAAGGTTAAGGTATATATTCATCTAACTCATGTTTCGTTCTGACAGGCCATCTGTTCGGATGAAGTGACTTGTAAGCCGCTCTGGATGCTGAGACTTCATCGAGCCCTCATGATTTGGCTGAAGAGCTTGGCGTTTTACAGTAGACCGTTGCCAAGTTGCCTTTCTCATGGTATCGATCTCAATCATCGAATTAAGTTGAGAAAACATGAAAGGAAAGAAAGAATCTCCCGATTGAAAGAGCCGGATTGGCTTTTCGAGCAGGTCCGGATCTATGTTAAACATTAGCAGAAAAGGAGCGCATATGGCGCAGTGGTTAGAGATGCTCTGCGTCGCACACGCGGTCAATGGTTCTACCTCACGCCCGTAGCTCATCAAGCCATCGATGCCTACGGAGTCGGTAAATTGGTACCAGATTGGTCTCAGACTTGCCTGGGAGGATAAGCAGCACTGATTCGATTCAGCGGGAGGCCACAGCGGGTGATTGTAAAGAGCAGATATCATTCAATCACCTTAAACGAAGTGAAAAGACGAAGACAAATGGATGTCGCTCCCTTAGGGATTGAGTCAACGCCGAGAGCTTCAATCTTTCTATCCTTTTACCGGCAGAAAACCGTGGCGATGGTGCTCTATATTTGAAGAATACCTATTCCTTTTGCTGTCAAATTGCGCTCAAAAATGATACTTTCAGAAACTTCCCAAAACTTTTTGCTCAATCCTAGAATTTGAGATGAAATTGTTTAACCTCGGATGTGTTCCACAGTAGGATATGAACGATTCAGAGTCAAATACAAACACTGCTCGAGTGAGCAACATCATAGTAGTCAAGGAAAAAGAGATGGGAGAAAGTAAATAAAAACCCCCATAAGCAAGTGAGGTCACAGGGCTCAGATCATGCTGGGTGACTAGACATTGATTTTATAGGAGTAATTTGACTGCTCAAACTTTGTGAATTCACTAATGGACAATTTCATCTAAGCAGATCGTTGAGGCTAAATTCATGCAATTCTCCAGTTAATACACAACACCGTAGTGGACGTCAGAGTACTGCAAGAACGAACTGAATGAAGTTATGATAAAGTGTAGGATTGGAGGCATATAAAATATATTCGTGTCAGGGCCAATCGACGTCTTAAAAGTGACAACGATGTCGATTGGGCACCAAAAAAAAAAACCAATTGATTATGAATAGAAGAGGAAGAAGCAAATGTTGAGGATTTTGGTTGTATAGGCCAAACATAACACGAAATAAAAGAAAGAACAAGAGATTAAAACACTAGATTTATTTGAAATCAAACAAACATAGTACGGCTTGAATTTTGTTGCCATTGTGAGGGTATGAGATTTTCGTTAGCAGTGCAGCACACATGAGCATTAACAAAACAGTGAAAACACTATTAGGATTGACCAAATCTCGTTTACTTAATGGCTTCAATGCTGAACATGGAGCTTATAGCATCAAAAAGTAGAAAATGTGTAATAGCCTACGAGTATGCATGATTCGAAAGGAAAAACGGTTCTTTTCTATCAGACGGCGACAAATGATGAAAGGACCCCTTCGCTGTAAAAAAAAATCTCATAAGAGTAGCAATCATTCGAAAACTCAAATCTTTGCTATTGAGCTACATGTTTTCTCTAAATAGACCCTTCTATAACGCTGTAGCGCTACAAAAAAATAAAAATTGCAAAATAGAACTATGTTTTACACCGGCCACGCGCTTCTACTGTTGCTTCGCTGAAAGAACAAAAAACATATGAACGTATAGGGGAAATCGTGTAGCATCAGAATCATAATAGCTTTTTCAAAAAAACGGCCAGGTAGCACAAGCCAGAAATTTAGGCTTTGAAATAATCACCAAAAGTGCAATGGAAAATCTTTGTTAGATAAATGGAGCTCATTTTTCATTTGTCGCCGTCTATCAAGAAGAAGCCAAAAAATCTATCAGCAAACTCATTTTCCAAAACTCACAAAAAATTTTTTTCTCTTCCACAGTGATTTTGGAACTCTTTTTTATGATAGAAATTTCTATTGTTTTTATTGCCTTTTCGCAGCATTATGATGTTCCATATATTCCTGAGAGAATTTAGTGATGAGCAAAAATACGACCTCAAACGGGAGTCGAACCCGCGTTTAATCCGTACCGAGAGTGCGTGCTACCATTACACCACCGAGGCACATTTGCGCCACCACTCATTTTTCAACATCTCTATGTTAGCTGTTAGTCACTATCCTTTAACAAGTTTGGTCGGATATGCGATTTCGCTTCATAAACCCAGTTGAGCTGACAATAATCGAAATTTCTATAGTTTTACTGAGTTTTTCGCAGTGTTGTGATGTTTCATTCAGTCCTAAGAGAACTGAGTGGTGAGCAATGCACGACCTCAGGCGGGAGACGAGCCGCGTTTCACCCATACCGGGAACGAGTGCTACCACCACCCCATCAAATGCCCTGCCAAACGTGTTAAAGTTTGGTGGGTGACAGCCATTATAGAGATGTTGAAGAATGAGTGACAACGTAAATGTGCCTCGGTGGTGTAGTGGTAGCACGCGGCCTCGGCATGGATGAAACGAGGGTTCGACTGCCGCCTGAGATCGTGTTCCTGCTCGCTACTCGTTTTTATAATCACCATGAGGAAATCGTTAGCACACAAGAAAATTATTGAGCAAAAGAAAAAATTGGTTCCATCTGATTATAAGGAAACTAAAAAAAACCGATCTCATTCGCTGGAGAGGAATTTTCATGGGAGTGTTGGTAACCATACGAAAGCTGAAAATTAAGGCTATCGCCTCACGTCGCCAGTTTTTCAAAACACCCTCTATAACGACGTGCCATCCGGATCAAAAATTGTGCTTCACACTAGCCTTTCGCCTTCACTTTAATCACGCGCATAATTCACTGGAAGCCGAAAAGCATATCAGTGTGCAGAGAAATTCTCGTAGTATCTTAGTCAATCGATCTACCCATAGTTTCCTCCGAAGCGGAAAAAAATTTCCAGGTTGAAGAGATATTGTAGGGCCGTACCCCCTGGCACCGCCCTGTCACACCTCTGCCACGGACTTCGTCTTATCGGATAGCCTGTACACAACGTTACAATAATGTAAAACTTGATCTTATTCTCCCTGTCAGGCCATATTTATAGAAAATAAGCACATCGTTAGGATCAGAAAACATCACCTTATCAGATAATTACTGATAGTCGGAGAAAGAGTTCTGTCCGGTGAGGTTTAAAGCACAATTAAGATGACCAGAGGAGATCAAAGATCAAAAGAGCTTTCCAAAGAGCAAACGCATTTTCGAGTTCTTTGAAGTTTGTGCTATAGTTTGAGTACTATCACTTTGGAGGAGTTTGTACAGCGAAATATAAGCGAGATAAAAGAAAAAACACGTGATTTCATGAAACATTTCATTTTGAATTTTACTATGTTATAACGGGGTATTTCGAAAAACATGTGACTTGGGCTGTAGCCACAAGTCTCAACATTCGAATGGTCACTAACACTCCTAAAAAAGCTCTTCTGCAGCGAATGGAATCGATTTTTCATTTATTCCCTCCTCATCAAAGAAACCAAAAAATCAAAAATTTCTGTAATTTAGAGCGGTATGCAAAACACTTGCGTCAGCTGGAATTCGAACCCAGATGGGGCACTTTTCGGGAGCGAGTGCTGAACCGTTGCACCACCTTCGCTTGTTTTGCACACCGCTCTTTCTACGCTAAAATGCGTTATGTGTGAACAGCCAACCGTCTACGGTATGGCTGTGGCAGTCGCTTATCGACATAGTAACCACTTATGTTGACAGATAATAGGTTTCAATAATTGATTAGAATATATTTTATTTGTGTAAAGCGCCTCCGGATAGGACGAACCTGGGTTCGAATCCCGGCTCACGCAAGTATTTTTGCACACCACTCTACATTATTGGGTTTATTATAACATCATACCACCGCAATGCGCGGTCAAATAAAATGAGTTCAAATATAATAATTAATTTCAATGAGAAAAAGCAAATACCTGAAGATATAAAGACGACCGGCTCACTCGGCGTCGGCTCGCCGACGAATGACTAGCCGGCCGACGAGCAGTCCCGTGATTGTGCCATATAGCACGGAACTGATCCTCCGTTGTCTGTTGAGTTTGGGCTGTGTTTGAATGCCTTTCCACTAACGTGCTGTTACGCTGACGCGAGTAAATGCTAATTTATTATAGACCAATATCAAGACAACCTGAAATCATTATACAATATACAATATAACATGACAAGATCTCACACAACAGTACGCGCATAACCGTGACTTAATAATGGAGGATTGATGAGTAGTCTGCGGGGCGGACTGGCGGTGGACACTCGGGAAAGCAGTTATGCTTGCCCCGAGCAGACAGTACACAGAGGGTGGTACCAGTTTGTGATTAAATATATCAGAAACCAGTGGGTCTGTGATCAGAGTAGCTGGACCCATCCCGGTGGTGGGCCAAACAGAACCCCAAAGGCTTGGTCCACCGCCGTGTATCTTCCCAGTTCCGTTTCCAGAGTGTAAGCGGTCGATGACTATTTGCGGCCACAATACTACAACACGAGGGCAGAGTCACCAAATTCTCATCAGTCAGCTGCAGCAAGCGTGAACAAAGGAAGTAATGGTGGTGCGGTGAAGGCAATATGACACGACCGATCAAGACGCATCCACGAGACGAAACTGAGCGCCACTCCGTCAGAAGTGGCTGCGCGAACATTGTTTGGTTCCCGCACCGATGTTCCTGCCATGGTATCTTCCACGATCGCTCTTCACTTGCTCAGAGAAGTAACGACCGTTTCTTGGAACGTTTCTACAGTGCAGGTACCTGACTTGTTGAGTGGGCTTGACATTTTGAGCGCGCCAAATTCGAATCTGTGCGCGAAGGCATGGGCTCGGCAACGCAGTGTCACTACGAAGAGGGATAGCGATTGATCAGATGGGCCCTGTTGTTTGCTCTACTTGTCATGCCACCTCAGACTCGCGTTCCAACTTTAGAAACCCTAACACTGTGGAGTGGAACACGCATTAGAGGTGCTTTGCGTCGCACACGGGGTCAATGGTTCGACCTCGCGCTTGTGGCTCAGCAAGCCGTCCATCTCTCCGGGCTCGATGAATTGGTACCAGACTTGTCTAGGACTATAAGCAACACTGACGTCGGTAGAGCAGGAGCCCACCGCAAATAATTGTGAAAGCCATATTAAGAACTGAAGACCAATGCATAGCGCATCTCTCAAGGATTGATCAACGCTGAGCTTTATTCTTTATTCTTCATAACACTGTGGACAACGTCAATCAAAGGTGTTGGAGGAAATTCTTGTGAATCTATCACATCAATTATTTGCATGCACACGCGCATTGTAGCACTCTGCAGTGCATATTAGATAGTTCATTGGTTCAACCCACGCCCTCGAAATCAGCAAACCATATTTTAGCGATCATCACTGATGCGGGTCCTCTCTTGAGAAAGGGAGACACATATAATTCTTTGGTAGGCCATTCCATGCTACTGTTCAATCGAAACATGTATTCGACTACCTCTATAGTATTTAATGAAGTCGAAAGCAAGGCAAGTCAAATGCATCTACAACCTTGTTAGCCGACTTTCGAGAGATTTAGCCTCACAAATGCGTTTCTCTGTAATGCAAACAAAATGGTCTACCCCAAAAGTGACATGAAGACATGCAACGCGCTGCTATATGGTACATCCGAAGACAAAGAGGACAATATTCTGTTAATCGGCAAGCCGCTAGCCAATAGAATATCGCTGGTACGGTCTGGGATGGATTCGAGTGCCAGAACTGAATGTTGAGCAACGGAATGATCTCGAGTCGTTATTTGCAATAGAAGAATTGGCTTCGCTTTGTTCTAGATCCGAGTGGAAAAATGAGTATCGAGAGCTCAATTTGTGCAGGTTTACACAGAAGTTGTCTCTTTGAAAGTTTTTCATATCGTCATGTGTTGTAATGAAACCTTAAGTTTTTCCTTGTTACATGTTTTTGGGTTTCTTCTAACGTGTTAGTCTTTTTCTGCTGAATTTCTGCGCACTGAATAAAAGACGTTCGTGCTACACTTGAAATTGCAGGCATTCTTACTACTCAGGCCTAATAACCACACATGCTTATCAAGTTTATTCTGCCAATTTCTGCGGATTTGGTGACCGAGCGTCTTACAGTTTATCTCTGCTATGGCTCCACATTCAGTGTTCCCATGTCGCAACCGTGCATGAAATCTGAATAACAGTGCATGATTGAATCCTATCTCAAAAAAACTAATTACATTTCCATTCTGCACTTGTCTACTTGGTTAATAACTATGCTGTCTTTTGTAAGTCTTCTACTTCAGCAACTATTGTTCCTGGATTAGTTTTGTGAGTGAGGTCTTAGAGGATATGAAATGACTAAAACAACCAATTAGAAACTTTAGTGTCATGGAGATCGGTTCTCATTCCATTACATCAACGTTTCACAAATTTTAGAAAATCAGCCATCATTATGCTAGGTAGGGGGCTGTAGCCGAGTAGATGTGACGCTCGTCGCAGCGCGTGTGGTCTAGCCCCATTTCCCGACAATCTCCGGCAGTCAACAACGAACGTCCTATGTTTACAATCAAGCTATCCTCGACATTGCAAGGTGGCGAGCTCTTTCGGTATTCTATGACGCTGAAGAAGGCTAAAAACGACTGAATGCTAGAAGTACTGAGATTGGCACAATGAAAAAGAGCACTATGAAGACGGGCAATAAAGTGCCGAATGTTTGATAAGAAATAATACAGAAGTTGAGATTGTGATAGTTTCGAATAATTATAAGAGGTATTTTTTCTCCTAAAAATCACTGATTGAGTTGCCAAGCTGCTGATAAGAAAAGGTCAGAGAGATAAATAGTAATGACATATCCTATTTCCTGAAGCTACTTCTAATATTGATCATTTATAAAGCATCGTAAAGGTGGCTGAATGCACATTTGAAGTCATAGTGGGTGTGCGAAACGCACTGACTAGACATTTTCTAAAACAACTTTCCGTAGTTAGAATAAGATCCATTATTCCCTTACTGATTTTGTAATCGAATTGTACTCATTTCTGTCATAGATGTTGAGATTTCGAACTATGGCGAGAAATGCCTGAAAGATAAATAGAGTCGGCTCCTCTGCTACGATTATATAGGA